GAATGCCCCCTGTGCCCGTTTGAACATTTCCAACAAGCTTGTACATAATTTTTTAAGAGAAACTTTTGTATAGGGCACATGTGCTTGCTAGAGAGAGACAGAGACAGAGAGAAAGAAAGCAAGAAATCACTCCCCAGAGGGGTAGCCATGCCGCAATCCCTTTTCCAGGCTCGGTATTTCCGGTATGTACTCACATGCACCACCATGAGTTTTAAGCCATCGGATCTGGGACTTAAACTGCAGTCGACTACGTGGGAATCCAGCAATGTAACCATCATGCCATCTTCTGGTCCCAAAGCCATGTGTTTTTTGTTTGTTTGTTTGTTTTTTAAAGACTAGACACCATCTAGCTGTCCCTTCCCTGGCTCTCCTGACAGTCATCCCTGGTCCTTGCATTTCCTGCCTCTGTGTGGCCTGTTTCTGCTTGGCCTGTGTCTCAGCTGGAAGGCCTCAGAAGCTCCTTTCCTCTCAAGGCTACCAGGTCCCAGGGAGTCCCGGAGTCATGGCAGGGCTGTAGCTGGGATGAGATGGTGCCCCCGCCCCAGGCTGGCCCTGCTCACCATGCCCCAGGAAGTCATCGGTGGGCAAGAGTGCTTTTCCAGGAACGGGTCTCCGGCCCAGAGACCCCGGCTCCAAACCCATGTCCATCCACTCCCTGGGAGTCCGGCAGTCAAACTCCTCATTATCAAACACCTGGAAGAATGCAGGCAGATACTGGGAGGAAGCAGGTCCCTGGCGAGTGGGGCCCAGGTGGAGCAGAGCCTGCCAGAGGATGGGGATGCCTAAGATAAGGGAGCTGCAGGTGGGGGCCCGGGGCTGAGGCCCTCCTCTGCTGTTGATGCTCGGGGTTTGGTTGGGTGAACCCCTGGGTTCCCGCCTGGCTCAGCAGAGTGTGTCTGGAAGCTTGGCAGGATGTGGGCTCCCTCTTTTCAGCTCTAGCCCAAGAGAAGAGGGGGTCCTGGGGTCTTCCAGCACCCACCCCAACTCGGAAACAATGGTGGGTTAGGGCTGGCAGGAGGCAGCCTCTAGGGGGTGCGTGCATCTGGATTCACCTTTGCCTCCCCACGGGGACCATCAGGCACAGCCACTCAGGGCCACAGAGAGGGAAGGTGGTGAAGGTCGGAGCCAGGCTATGCTCCCTCTTTCTCCTCCCTAGACTCAGTTTCCCCATCTGTACCCCAAGGGAGTGGCACCGGTGCCCTCTCCCATCCCCGGTCTCCCCATTTAGGTAAGCCCAGTGTCAGTTCCCCAGCCGTAGTGGGCCCTAGTCAGGGAAGCCTGTATTGAACACACAGTCCAGCTAGGCTGCTTCTAGGTGTCCATGGTGGGGCCAAAGGTCAGACACACAGGTTGCCCAGGCTCCCAGAAAAGGAGCAGAGAATCAGCATACCAGGGGTCCTGGGGGCACCTCCTGCCCCACCTAGCATGTTCCACGTTGCAAGGATGGGTTCTGATCATTCAGTTGCCCTGTTTGGTGTGAGCACTCGTGACTGGGGCAGGAAGTCCTTTCAGGTCAGACCGCTGAGCCTCAGCTGGGGCCCTGCACCTCCTGTCTCTCCATCAGTCGTCTGCATCCTGGAAGCCCAGCTTACCTTCAGTGGAAGATAGATGGGAAAGAGCGGGTCGTGGCCCTGTTCAATGGTTTGGGGGTGCTTCGGGTCTGGGTGCCTGGGCATGAGCTGGTTGGAGTCAATGCCCTCACTGGCCAGCAGCTGCTCGATGTCCAAGCTCAGGTACTGCCGCTTCCTCCTGGCCAAGGACAGGGAGGTGGCTGGGTGGGTGTCGGCAAGGACCCATGGGTCCTGGTGGTTGAGGGTGTGGCCCAGGGTCCTTCCAAGGCCCTCTGGGACTCATCAGGAAGTGTGTGGTGGCCAGGGATGGTGCCCTGGTCTCCAACTGTCCAGTCTCATCCCAGCAATCACATCTCACTACACTACCGGCCACCCTCCCCAAGGCAAGGAAAGCGATTGTTCCTATTAAGACGCCAATGGCCTAGAGAATGGATCAAACGCTGTGCACAGACTCCACACTGGGGGGAGGGTGCCTGCCCAGTTCCTCACCACCACCTGGTCTGCAGGCACTGACCCGAGTGGGGCAGACACCACCCCCCAGAGGACAGGTTGCCCCACAGCCCACCCGGCCGTACCTCTCGATCTCGATCTTGCGGGGGCACTGGCCGGGCAGCACCTGGAAGGGCACCTGCACCTTGGGCTCATAGGCTTGCAGTGGAAAGTCAGTCTGGGTGAGCTGCTGGGTGGTAGCGCCGATGCTCTGCTGTTCCACGCGCTCCTCTAAGTCCTCGGGGATCTCAAAGGTCCCAACTGCAGGCAGAGGCAGGGGCTGGGGCAGGGCTCAACTCCCCCCATAAGACAAAGCGGCAGGCAGGCATCGTGCACGCATACTTCAGGCGCAGGGAACACCAAGCTTGCCTGCGTCTGGGCAGTGGCAGGGAGGTGATAGACACGGCACGAGGTACTCGAAAGGGTACAGCCTGGAGGGGTGCGCGTCTCGGGAAGGCGGATTTGGGCCCCGTTCTCCCTGTCTGGAGCCAGCATGCTTGACCATTTTCCTCCATACTACCCATGACAGCCCCAAGGGACACTGCTTGAGCCAGGTGCGGGATTAAAACCACCAGGGAGTGCTCTGCCTAGATGGAAGGTGGAGTGTGGCAGTTCTGCCATCCTCACCCCAGAGACCCACCCAGCATGGCTGAGTCTAAATGCCATTCACTCCTGGGCATTCCCAGGCTCGAGGCAACCTGGATACCGCAGAAGCAGCGGCACCACCATGCTGTCCCCGTAGAGGTCACAGAATGGCTGCCTCTACTTAGACAACCAGGACAGATGGAGGCGTGTGCTCCAGGCTGGGGGAAGGCGAGCTGCCGGGGAGGTGTCCCGGACAGGGTGACTAACCTCCCAGTTGGAACTACAGGCTTTCCTGCATCACAGGGTGCTTGGTGGAGAAGCAAGTCCCAGGTTGAGACCACATGGGTGGGAAAAGGGGTGTGGAAATGGTTTTCCTGGGGCTGGGACTCTGCCTGCCCAATGACAGCCCCATCTATTTTCCTAGACAGAAAGGACCACAGAGACCCAGAGACTTTGGGAGGCCCTAGTGACCTCTCCTTGGGCCTCCCCCCCTCTCTGGGATCAAGAGGAAGGCTCTGCAGGAGGGCCCATACCGGGGATCGGCTGGGGCCTCCGGAGGCTGGGTCTGGGCTGATGTTTGGCTCAGTAGAGGCCACTCGCTATCAGCTGAAGTCCGCTCTCCTCCCAGGGCTGCCGGGTCAGGGAACGCCACAGCCCACAAAGACCCAGCCCGAGGGCCGTTTGCAGCTGTCTCATCACTGGCTCTTGAGCATCCAGGACACCTTTCCACAGCCAGGACACACCCAGCACCTGACCAGGAGCCAGGGTGATGAGGGGCAGGCTTCTGGAGCCCCCAGCCCAGCCACAGGCAGCAGAGTGGATTTCT